CAGACAGACACAGACACAGGCATAGGCACAGGCACAGGCACAGGCACAGACACAGACACAGACATAGATACAGACACAGACTTAGACACAGACACAGATAGATAGACAGACAGACAGACAGACAGACAGACAGACAGACAGACAGACAGACAGAAGACAGACGGACAGACAGAAGACAGAGGACAGACAGAGACAGACAGACAGACAGACAGACAGGCAGACAGACAGACAGACAGACAGACAGACGCGAGCGCTTTATATACAGTAATGATTAAAAGCTGAGTCTGCACGATGACAAAGAAATGAACTCTAAGGCTCGTGTTAGATCTAGTGGGGTGTATCGTGGCACCACCTCCACGACTACGCAAGTTTACTGCCACGAACAACTTCTGTCAATCGACACATTACCAGTTAGAATTTTATTACATCGTTTATTTCCCTTATTCTTTCGAGCGACAGCAAACCGAGCACTTCATTATGTTTGGAACTACCACCAGATATAATAAATCCAGATCAGAAGTTTTGTTAATTGTCTGCAGGGCCCTCCCGTCAATATGGTAACTGATGCTTGGAGACAGCGTAGATGAGAACAGCAAAAACTTTCGTTTTCTCGATCGATAGCGGATAGTTCCATTTCTTATACCATTTACTTACAACACCAATTGCTCTTTGAAGAAGCCAACAATCAGTATTAGTTTGAATAATCTTATAAATTTCAAGATCATCCACCGAGGTGAATAATTAACGAACTAAGCTTAAAAGTATATAAAAGGCGAGAGTACGCCACCTTGCGGAAGGGCAATTGATGCCTTTTGGATAGAAAAATGTATCATTGATGTGGACCTGAACGGCACGATCTATGAAAAATTCATGTAACCCCATATGAAGCAGATCCTTAATCTCTACACTTTCTAGCTTGACGAACAGTTTGTTATGGGACACTTTGTCGAATGCCTTCATTAAAGGCACAGTTCACAAAAAAGTGGTTTCAGAGATTTGCACATTTTTTGAATTCGAAGCCCCCTCTGATACCATTTGTGCAGGAATGATGTCGGAAAACGGTCTGGATAGGCACAATGAGGGCAGGAACAGTGGGGGACGTCAGGCCTCCGCCCCTCGCTAGGTTGACTACGAGTTCAAATTGTCCTTCACCACTTTCGCATTAGAGCAACATTAGTGAAAAATCGATAGGCTGGTTGGCAATTTGCCCACAGACGGTCAGCTGGTCGACCGCCTCGTATTGGGACTACTATTCGGCTGTTTCTCTAGTATTCGACAATATTCTACGCTTTTCTATTCTAATTAATTTTTCTCAGCCGTCGTCAAAAGGTCGAAATTGATACTGCATAAAAAATCAGATTAATAGCGGTAGGAGAATTAGTTTTAATGAATAAGCCAAAATCAGCTGTTGGTGTGTTGTGTGCAATGGCAGACACTGAGCCGCGTTTGTCTGACTCGCCCGAAAAATTCTTATCGCCGTTTTTTCGCCATTTAGCTCGTCCGACCTCCCTTTTCCCTTGTTTTTTGTAACTGTCTATTTCTTTATATTCATCTTTTTTCGCGTTTTCTTTATTACCATTGTACTATTGTAGGCCGTATCTAACATTTTTTGTCAAATTTCGCCAAAAAACCGGATACCCCAAAATTAACGTGAGCTGTGCCTTTAAGTCAAAGCAGATAATGTGAACTTCTTTCTTTCGATCAATCCATAAGGTCCAATCAAAGAGCCTCAAGAAGCTGAGTTATCGTTGACTTGTGTTTAAAAAAGCCATGCTGATTTGAGCTGATGACACCATGCTGGTCCAATTACTCCAATATTCTGTTTTTCAAAAATTTCTCGAGCAACCTAGCAGTGATAGAAGTGATACTGATCGTCCTATAATTACTTACAACATCATGTGGCTGTTTCTTTGGTATCGCAGTTATATACGAATGCTTCTAAATGCATGAAACTTCGCCTCTGCTAGTGAAGTCACCCATTCCAGGCTTTCGATCACCTCGAGCAGTTTGATTCACTGTTGCTGGAGGTCATTGCTAAAGAAAAAGTACTTCCATCTGCACGCGAAGATCGAAATTCGAATAGAAAACGGAAACCCCTTTGTCCCTGACAAAAATATTACGAAACATTATCTCATTTCAAAGTTACGCCTCGCGTTTCTTTTGGATGAATTCGAGTGAGCACATACTAGCTATGGGTATGGGTACATTCACCCAGAACTGAATGGACAATGGACACGGCAAACCGCGCGGCGAATTTGGTAGTGATTAAAAAGGCTTTGGCGCCTATCAATGGGGCACGGGTTTCAAGTAGATTGGATAAGTAGGGCTAGCTGATGCCACTCATCTATC